AGAAACAGGGGTGTAGATAGATTAGAAAGGTGAGGCAGTGTTCATCTGTTCCTATTTTCCTGTTGAATATAGAAAAGCCAAGTCATCATTAGGGGCCAGTGATGTAGGACCATTCTGAAGATTGGTGGAGAGAGATGTTCAGAAGGGTTTTCTCAGAGTAAGAGATTAGAATGTAATGGGCTTATGGGCAAAGTTGTATTGAAGTATCTATTTATAACTAATTGTACCTGTGATGGCTCAGATGTTCTGTTTCTTGGAGTTAGACTTTGCTTTATAGAAAAGTTAAGTTTACCACACTTGACGTTTAGTCATGTTAGTACAATGGAAAGGGAACAGGAGGGCATAAGGAACTTTCTAGTGTGTGTGGCTGGGCAGTTACCATTATGGATCATGGAATGTAAACTGGCTTACGTGGAAAAGGAGAGATGAATGGCAGTGACAAAATGGTAGTAGGATCATTGGTTATTGATAGTACTTATGTTCTGATTTAATACTATACCAACTTTATGATGTCCATTTTAAACATGGCAATATGTATTCATAATAGCTAAATAACTTGACCAACGTTATACGGCTAGTAAATGGCAGAGGTTTTAGACGGAAAAATCAAATGCACTCCAAAACTTTTGTATTGTACTAGCTGCCTCTGATTCATGAGTTGCTCACTAGACAAAGGATAATCATTATTATGACTGAAGATGTTTACATCGTATTTGTTTTGCTTATTCCAGGCTTCTTATGGCATGTAAATGAAAAGAAAGTGTTGGGAGGGGGCTCAGAATACATTTTTAATTTAAAACCATATCTTCCTTTAGAAAATGAGTAGCCTTTAGAATTTGATTGAAAATGGTTTGATTTCTATCTTTCAAAGGTCACAAGCATTCACACATATCAATCAGTATTGAATAAGCTGTTAGCATGGAGTGAATTCTACCTTATCCACTTACAGTGAGGTAAAACTTCTATGCTAAGGAGATCCTCTGTTTTTCTCCACTTAACATGACATAAGAAGATCCTCACTGAACAATACATAATGATGTTCTATGGAAAAGAAGAGCAGGTAGTTTTGATTTTATCTACTTCAGGAGGCTTCAAGAAATTTACTTGTGTTCTCAGACTTGATGGAGGTAAGGAGGATTTTATGGTTCAGTAGAAGGAACAGTGGCATTTTAAATAGGAGGTTTTTCAAGCCTAATAATTAAAATAACAATACTTAGCATACTTTCACAATACTGCAAACAAACAAAACCAAATTGCAGGGACTGTTTTTGGTTTAAATTACATGGAGCCTTTTCTATCAAATCTTGTAGATATAGAGGCTTGGTTGAAATAGCTGCATAATTCCCCAGCAGAGTGTTTTTTCTTTGCTGTAATTACATTCCTGCAATGACTCATGCTCTCTTAATGCCTAGATTTTATAATTCAAAGGACAATGTTCCCTTGAAATTTGAAAACCTGGAAGACTTGAAAATTGTGTTTTAAAAAATTATTATTGCTATTACTACTGCTACAACTGCTATCCTCTGTGGATTGTTTCACTTAGGTGCTTTTGATTTCATTTATGCAAGCTCCATAATGGGGATTTACTCTTGTGACAGTGATGGGGATAGGATCCCAGGTATGCCCAACAGTAGGAAAGACTGTTTGGGGTTCATGGACTTCAGCTGCAGAGATTTGGGGCCTTCACTCTGCTATTCACTACTGGTACAACTCAATTTCTCTCAACTCTTTCCTTAGTTCTGTCTTTCTGTTTCTCTTTCTTTTATCAGCTGAAAGTTGTTTTTCCCCCCTTCATTTACTCTTTCAGATTTCCCAGAGAAGGAACCTGGCTGGGTGTGCTAATAAACACTGCCTCTTTGTGGTAGTGTTTCTCTCCAACTTCTGGGGCAGTTGTTTCAGACTAGTAGCAAGGCCAGGGGACTGTCTTTTGCAAAAATCTGGCTGCCACCTCTTCTGTTTTAGCTGTGGGCTTGTTTGGGGTCTGGGTTTGGTTAACAGGGTGCATTGTGGATGCTGTAGCAATTACTAGTTTTGTTAGAGGCAAGTCTTTACTGTTCTGCTTCACTATTTTGTCAGAAATCTTTGGAAATTTGTGAAATATTCTTCAATTCTCTTGAGAAGTCAGGATGTGCAGAGGAGGCTAGGGAGCTGATTCTTGATTGTTCAGAGACAAATGTCCTTGTTAAACAATTGGTTTAGGTGTGGTCATGTAATGTAATTCTTGCATAAGATACTAGAGAAGATGAATGTTAGGTGCTTTGTGTTAAGTGTTTTCTCATTCTTTCAAAGAAATACCAAGACTTTTTTTTTTTAAATCATGGAATATTAAAAAAAAAGTTAAGTTTTAGACACAATATCTTTATTTATGTGTGGTGCTGAGGATCGAACCCAGTGCCCCTCACATGCAAGGCAAGTGTTCTACCACTGAGCCACAACCCCAGCCCTACCATGGGATATTTTTAATCTTCATGAGATGTTTTCAATTATAACAGCTATGTTATAGGTCATGAGAACAGCCAATTAAGAGAACAGGTCAATCACTGTACTGATTAATGCCAGAGCAGAAAATTGAACATATTCTTGGTTGCATTAATTGATGCAGAGCTACCACATGAGCCAACCCTTGAAGTGCCCTGATGTGGGAAACGTACTTTGATGCAATGGTAGCCTCTTGGTGTGCTACCAGGAGAGCTCTCCCAGAGGTCAGGAGGCAGAAAACTTCCATAAACCAAATTCAGATCCTCAACTCACAGTTTGCTAAATTAACTTAAGCACACTGTGAGAAATAAGAGGAAAGAGATGGGCATATACTGTATTTAGGATAAGGTATAGGGGGATGAGAAGGAGCATGCCTGCTAATCCTGGAGTATACAGTGTTCATATTTCCTGTTTCTCTGCTGCACCTGTCTTCCCTGCTGATAATGTGGTTATGAGGATCAGAGTTGAAGTTTGTTCAAGTCTCAAGATAGCAGGTGCCCTGAACTAGTGGCACCCACTTATTGTATCCAAAAGACACAGGACAAGTATGCCTGCTCAGCAGCTGTAGCATGCCAATTAACCTGACAAATACTCGTGGGGTTTATTTGTGATTTTTGGACAGAGACCATAAGGGACAAGAATGAATGTTAGCAGTTGCTTTTAACCAGAGTGGTTCTCTCAGTGTACAGTTAGTTATGACTGGAGACATTTTTACTGTGATGACTGGGATGTGTTGGAGATGTACTGGTATTTAATGTGTAACAGGCAGTCTACTTCTACCCTAAATATACATATACTATAATGGTAAATGTATTGTAATGCATAAGGTAGCCTCCCAAGACAAAAATAATTATCTGGCCTAAATGTCAGTAGGTCAGAAATTGAGAAACCCTTGGTAGCACCAATGGGTGATAGAAATAAGACCTCAAGAATATTGATTGTACACATTTAGGGTATCCTGGGTGTTAAGTGTCTCTTGCTTATTTAGTATATCATGAACATTTATTACCTAGGTGTCTAATGGATATATTAGTTTTCTCTTGAGTATCCATTCCTTTCTGTAAATGGGTAATACATAGGAGATTTTACTGTGAAGTAATAACATCCTATGAATTCTGCCCACATCTAACAAAATTTTGCTTACTAACTACTCATCTATGCTTAAAATGTTTTAAAGGTTTTGTCTATAATTTTTATAAACTTCAAATATATTCATTAGCAGAACAAAATATTCTCAAATGGAAATTCATATTACACTTGCTCTGAAATTTCTAACAAGAAGATGATAAAATATCTTGATTGTTTTAGCCACTTTTAGTTATGTTTTCGGCAGCTTGAAGATTATAGCATCCTGGCTGGGTCCCATATAAAGTTAATATGAAAATATATTCCCAAGAGCAATGAAGCATGGACTTAGACTATAATTATAGGTTCCCTAAATGGTAACATAAGCATCAGATTCTAGAGCCTTATGGTGCCTGCATGAATGTAATGCATGTTTGCACATTCCGTTTATATTTCAAGCAATTGTAGGCGTGGTGCTTATCACGATGGGCTTATGTGCTCAGATATTAACTTTGTTATGATTGTGACAATTTTGGCTGAGAAACCTACAGAGTATTTGAAAAAGATTCTTTTTAGTTGGCTCAATGACTATAAATAGAGTAACATTATAAATTTATTAACTTCATGTATTTTTATTTTTTGATGACAATTTTACTAATATTTTACTGCTTTAAAAAAATTAAAGACTTCTTATAGAAAGTGTGTCTTGCAGTACTTCTCTTAAAAGGGAAAATTTTTCACATATATGGAATTAAAGCATATTAAGGTTCTATTAATATTTAAGTTTATATAAGAAGGTATTGTTGAGAAGAGGCTTAGAAAGAAAGTAATTTTAAAATGCTTATTGTACATTCCTTTTCATTTCTTTTAATTTTCCCCTCTTTTTTGGTGTGTGATGGAAACTAGTAATCTGTCAGATAAAAGTATCACACGTAATTCATAAAGAAATGGTAAGATATGGTAGTCAATTAAAACTTTTTGATAAAAAGCTGAAGTTTGAAAAAACAAGAATAAAATGTCTTTAAAATAATGGTGTGCTGAAGCTGTGTGTAGTGCATGATGGTAACCCTAGCTACTCTAGTCTGAGGCAGGAAGGAGGACCCAAGATTCCCAGCCAACCTGGGCAACTTAGTAAGACCTCAACTCAAACTAAAAAGGTTGGGGGTATGGGTCAGTGGCAGAGCGCCCTGGGTTCAATCTCTAGTGCAAGGGGAGAAAAAAGGCGTGCTTACAGTAGTTTCCTGGAATTACTGCCTGGACCCAGGCAATCTGCTGATGAGCAACTGGATGACAGGTGGGATAGCCAGTTCAACCTCCTCTTTCTGTTCCTATAATGTGTTGATTTTTGTTTTAAAATACAGTTAAAGAATTGTTAAAGCAGATGTGTGTGAACTTGATCCTGATCTTCATAGACTTTACCGGTGCTCTTTTGTCATCTTTTCTTCTTGTCATTGCAGTGATTTGTTGTCCTCGGATTACATAGAGAGGCACATCGAACATGGAGGCAAGACTGTGCAAAGCAAAGTAAGTGAATTTTCCTTCTTTTGGAGGAAATTTTGAAACTCTTCAATACACTACTGCACGTGATTTCAATTTTCAGTGATACATCTAAAGGATGGTTTTGAGGTTTGAAAATATTTTATAGTTTATTAAGAAAGTTTTCACCCTTTTGAAAAAAATGAAACTTTCAGTTATTAGAAAAAAATTCTTAGCACATTGTCAAAATTATTATAGTTTGTAGGATTAAGGTAGTTGCAAGTAGTTCTTTTTAGATTATGTTACAGAAAATAATTTCTGGAATTTGCTTTTAAGGTTAACTCTTGAGAATCACGTGGTGAAGGGCCGAGGTTGTGGCTCAGTAATAGAGCGATTGCCTAGCATGTGTTGAGGCACTGGGTTCAATCCCCAGCACCATGTAAAAATAAAATAAAAGTATTGTGTCCATCTACAACAACAACAACAACAACAACAACAACAAAATCAAAGAAAAGAATCACATGGTGAGATCTCAGGTGCAGAATAGGTGTGTGGCTTTGCATTTGTGTGTGAAAGACTTTCCCCAAGTAAAGTGTAAAATCATTAGACCTACTAGATGTTTCAGGGAATTTAAACTCCCTGAAGGTATATCTCAGGATACTGGCTACAACAGGTAAGGTCTGAAAACCTTCTACTTAGAAGCCTCTTCCAGAGGCAGAGAATGTGTTTTTCCCCAGAGTAATGATGGACTAATGGTGTATGTTAGGACATAGGAGACCAAGAGCACCCATGTGTAGAGATTCTGTTCAGTGTGAGGTTGGCCAAGTGTATATTTGTTCTAAAGTGTTCAGACATTCTATTCTACCTTATCTGATAATATATCATTTGTCCATGTTTCTTTTGCTGAATACAAATTTGATACATCCTTATTTAGAAAACTTGTAAGTAGCGAGGTTAAATTTGTTTTCATTTTGTTGCATTTCCTTTTAGTGTTTTTTGTCTCACATATTTGTATTTTTTTCATAGTACTATATGTATCTATAATATTATATCTTGCTTGTTTTTTAGTAAATGCTGTAACATATTGTGAACATTTTCCTAAGTTGTTTTCATATAAAGCCTATGTTCACCATTTTCCTATTTACCTATGTTATGATAAAAAGTTTTTTATTCAAATTGAATTCTGTTATTGATAACCAAAATAAATTACATTTTTCTATTTAAGCAGTACCAGAGGAAATTGAATTTTAAATTATTTTTATATGTTAACAAGAATAATTCTTCTTCTTCATCTTTGTCTTTGTCTTCTTCTTCTTCTTTTGTGGTGCTAGGATTAGACTCAGGACCTTATACATGCCAGATAAGTACTGTACCACTGAACTATACCCTTAGCTCATGAAAACTATTATGGAAAATGTCAAACATACAGAAACTAAAATATAATGAACCCCTCTCACATCCATTTCCAGCATCAGCTGCTATCAACATTACAATAACTTTGTGTATTTGAAAGCAAATTTCAGACATTACAACATTTTGCTAGTAAATAAGTCTCTACCTGAAATGCTTACAATCAGAGGTGTTTCAAATTTCATGTTTCTGAACTTTGGAATATTTGCATAGATTTTTCCTGGTTGAGCATCTCTAACCCAAACTCCAAAATCCAAAATGTGATAAAATATGAAACTTTTTATGCCTTGTTTTGATGATCAGGAATTTTTGGATTTGGAACATTTTGGTCATGGATTTTCAGATAAGGTACGCTCAGCCTACATTATCAATACATTTGTAACTGATACAGACTTAAAAACAAAACCTGTTTATTTTTACAAGTGACCTAAATATAATAATTAGGCTAGTCCCTCCAGAAAGTTATTCCAGCTTAAGGATAATTGAATGGTTGATCTATATCACTGCCTTCCTGCAGAAAAGAATATCAGATACTTCTAGGTAGGACATAGGAGAATGGAGTAATTTTGCTTATAGTTTGAAATAAGTTACTTAGAGTTAGAGTCTCTGGTTCCTTTTGTTCTCACCCCTGTTTATTTGATTCACTTCTCTTGTTTGTATGACACTGTTTTTCTAAATGCGGTTATCTCTTCTTGCTTTGTTGAAGAGGAGAAAAACCAGGCAGTTTCCTATCCATTTCTATCTATGTCTGTCAGGGGAGTGGTGGAATGCAAGTATGAGCATGTAGGGTGGATCCAACAAACAGCTGTCTGCCTTCCTTGCTGTAATATCCTTTTTAGGATATTACCCTGCTGTGAGGTTGTAAGCCTCCATGAGTATACATACATACAATCCAAAAAGCACTGACTTTATTGCACAGTCTGCTGATTTTGCAGCCTAAGAATTGCATTTTCTTTGTTGATGGTTTTCTCCACCCTTTAGCCTATCAAATCAGAAAAATAGTAAATAGGAACTTTATCCAAACCCTTGTGCCAGAGGATATTTCTCCCTTTAAGAAAACAACTTTGATTTCACCCATCACCTCCATGTGTTTCCAGTCCATTTAAAAATCTCACTCAAAAATTTCCCCTGGGTTTTTTCCAGGAACATATTGAAAGTGCTCAATCCTGCTCATAAAATCCAAAGCCAGTAGTCAATTACTTCCCTGCTGGTCTCCTCAGGTCGTGCCCTCTGTTCTTAGTTCTCTAGGATGTTTCCTTTTTTTGTGGAATCTGGTTGAGTTCTCCTTTTTTGTTAATAACTCAGAATTCTCTTAAACTTTTCTTTTCATTATTTACTATAGGTCAAACAAAATTGTAACATTTCATACTTTTTTGTTTTCTTTATCTCTACTGCCTTTTTAAAAAGAAAGCCTTAATTTTTCTACCTTTTCTTTGCTTTCTGTCTTAGTTTGCTATGGTTGCCATAATAGAACAATAGGAATCTATTATCTCATAATTTTGGAGGTGAGAAGTCTGAGATCAATGTGTCCAGGGTTTATTCTGGGCTTGTGCATTGTCTTCTCCTTGTCTTTTTATGGTTCTGGGGGTTAGGACTTCAACATAGGAATTGGAGGGGAATATAATTTAGCTCACAGAACCTTCCTTAAGAGACTTACAATTTTTGTTGTGTTTTTCTTTTTTGTCTCCATTGTTGTTTGTTTTTTAAAGTTGACATTTGTCTTAGGACTGAGGTAAATGAAAAAGGGTATATGAAATGAAAGCTAAATTCAGAATTTTTTTTGTGTGTTGGTTGTCATAAACATGGACATATATGTCTTGAAGAAGCAAAATTATAGTCAAAATCATCATGCCAGATTTAAACAGTGGCCAGAAGCCAGTATATTAAATGGTTTTTTTCAAGTGCCATAGAATTTTTGTGAAAACTCCACAAAGCACTGACTTTATTGAACAGATGCAGTGCATTTGATTTAAGGGTGTGAGTGTGAATGCGGGGAAAGAAATACATTAGCATGAAAAAAATATGTAATAGCTGCTTTGGTGAATCTTTCAGATTATAGTTTTATTTTAAAAATATTTTCAGTTGTAAAAATATAATACCAACACAGAAATTCATGTCAAACAACGTATGTGTTGATTAATTAAAAGTATGCACCTTTACATCCTCTGTCCAGTTCAAGCCATAGAGCTGCTTCATACGCCCAAGCCCTGCACCTCCGGTGACACTTGCAAACACCAATCTGATTTTATGAGTATCCCCTCCTATATAGTTTTATCATTGAGGTATGCATCTTTTTAATTTAGTTTTGCCTGTTGAGGTTTTATAAAATAGATTTTAAAATTTATCTTTCTTTTTTGTAATTTATTTGTTGAAGAAACCAGATTGTTTATCCTATGCAGTTTCCCAAAGTCTAGATATTTAGGGTTGATTTCACTTTTATATTTAGAGTAAAATGAAATACATTTCAGTGATTGTTCCCTGGCCCATGTTGTCCCATCCTCCCAGATATCATATCTGCCCAATCTCCTGTTTGTGGGATGTTTATATATGGAAAAGATACTGTAATGCCCCAGTGTTCTATTTAAAGGACAATCTGTATTGTCATTCTTTTTTTTTTAATTTCCATATTATCATTTTATTTATTTATTTATTTTTAATTAATTTTTAAAAATTTATATATGATAGCAGAATACATTACAAGTTTTATTACTTGTAATAAATTGTTCATATCTCTGGTTGTATGCACAGTATATTTACACCAATTCGTGTCTTTATACATGTACTTTGGATAATAATGTCCATCACATTCCACCATCATTAATAACCCCATGCTCCCTCCCTTTCCTTCCCACCTCTCTGTATACATACATACAATCCACAAAGCACTGACTTTATTGCACATTCTGCTGATTTTGCAGCCTAAGAATTGCATTTTCTTTGTTGATGGTTTCTGCACCCTTTAGCCTATCAAATCAGGGAAATAGTAAATAGGAACTTCATCCAAACTCTTGTGCCAGAGGATATTTCTCCCTTTAAGAAAACAACTTTGATTGGATTATAGTTTGATTAGAGTTCTCTGTCCCTCCCATGCCCGCTGTATCTCACTATAATCAGCCTCCTTATATTATAGAAAACATTCAGCATTTGTTTTTTGGGATTGGCTAATTTCATTAGCATTATCTTCTCTAACTCCATCCATTTACCTTCAAATGCCATGATTTTATTTTCTTTTATTGCTGAGTAATATTCCATTGTGTATTGTATTAGCATTCTCAATGATAACAAAGGATATATAAGCTTTAGATTATGATTTGCAGCCTATTTTTTAAACGTTTATTTTTTAGTTGTAGGTGGACACAATACCTTAATTTTATTTTTATGTGGTGCTGAGGATCAAACCCAGTGCCTCATGCATGCTAGGTGAGCGCTCTTCCTCTGAGCCACAACTCCAGCCCTGATTTGCTGCCTATTTTAATGTATCCATGTCAGTTTCACTGACGTATTTGCAAATTTAGAAACTTAGGACTCAAAGGGTTAACAACCATTTGTATTATCTACAGGGTTTTATGTTTCATTGGTCAGATAGGTACGCATAATACTGATTAAAAAGTTTTATTAAAACTTTTATTTAAAAAAAA